TTGTATCTAACTCACAGAAGAGAGAAGCAATTTGTGTTTAAAGCAGCAGAAATACCTAAAACCCAACAACAGCAGAGGGCCTTCATGCTGAGAGCTCATTTGTTGTCCTGCACCCCCCACCCCCCCACCCCTTTGTTGAGTAACATGGCATCCTGTAATCTCGATGAGTCACTATTGCTACAGTAAAGCACAAACCGCCTCTGCTGCACATTATGAAGCATATTACAGCTGGAGCGGACCTACTATCAGAGTTTTAGAGCGAAATAAGCAGCAGCTGCAGCGCTGATCGCTCCGGGCTGAGAAGGTAAATACAACAACAGGCGCGCGCTCCACTACCCGTTTTCTCTTAAGGAAATATCCCCTCACTTCTCCAAAGAGCTGCAACTAAAAACAATCCCCACTTCCGCGTTGAGATGAAGGAAACAGCTACTCGAACGGCTCTTTAAATACTCTACTTACTTTTGACGCCGCGGGAGAAAACGGCCAGCGCTGCTGGTTAATTTCCATGTTCAAGGATGTTATTGTAAACAAAGCAGCACATGGCTTCTCTGCCCCGTCACTGTGGTATCCCTCCGCGATCCTTCCGCGCATAAAAGCAGAACCGGTTGTTGTTTTCAGAGCTCAGCCATCTTCTGCTGGAGCAGAGAGCGATCCACGCACAGAGGAGGATACGCTCAAGTTTAATAACGCAGGTTTCTAACAGCTGGATGGATGAGACTTTAGGTTTCTACAGGTTGATGCTGTTGCTTTGTTCGGAGGAGGAGCCGCGTCTGCTTCAATCCAAGCACCGTGTCCGAAATTAAGGAGAAATTAGGCTTCTAATTGAAATTATGGCTTAATCTGAGTATTTAGGAGGCTGAAGTCAAAGTGTTAGCCCGTTTTTAGTTTTATCTGTTTCGCAATCAGTCGTACTTTAAAAAGGAAAAATCATTATGTTTATTTGCCCTAAACTAAATTATTCTGCACTGGTTACAGATTCCGATATTTATAAAACAGGTTGAACTAAAAATAAAAACTTTCAAGTCTATAAATGTTTCTAAAGAATGACCTGGTGACAAATAATTCAAACACTTCTTGATTTTGGCATGCCATTTGACACAATAGGAATTCTTGTATATAAAAAAAGAAGACAAACTAGAATAATGGATTCAGATTTGACTTAATAGAAATTGATTATTTTTTAGCAGGGCTCCATTTAGGAGTCTAAACTTGGATTAAAACTATTTATCAGATTAATATTAGTGATTTAATTATCAAAGAGTCCAGGTAGAGCTTTAGATTTACTTTTAGGAACATGGTTAACATGTTTCAATCAAAATGTGCAATAGGTTCAAAACATTTACTAAAAATATCTGTAGCTGCAGCTCTGTCTAAATACAAAAGGAACTTGAAAGAATGTCTGGTTTAATATTTTGTCCTTTTATTCACAAAAATCTTTTCGTGGGAGTGTTTGGCCTAGTGGGTTAGAGCAGTGCGCTTTTGCTTTTAGAAGGTTGCAAGTACCCAGTGGGATCCCACAGCCTGCACTCTGGGTCCCTGAGCAAGACACCTAACCCCACACTGCTCCCCAGGTGCCGCACAATGGCAGCCCACCGCTCCCCAAGGGGCTGGGTTAAATGCAGAGAGTGAATTTCCCCATTGTTGGACAATAAAGGAATTTACATTATTTTACATTTACAAAAGTCACAAAACATGGCTTCATTTGATTCGAAAGCAATATCAATTCTATCCTGGAAATGGTCAGTCAAAACTGTGATTTAAAGGTGGGCTAATGGAAATTTATTTTTTTTGGCCAAAGTGATAATCCACACTACCGGTAATTACAACACAGACAGAAAACAGCCTGTCCTTTGGTTAAGCTAATTTCATCGCTCATCTATTCACTGGTCATTGCACAGCTTCTGACTGTGGCAGCTTCTGTCCCTCTGAAGCACAAAGGCTTGAAAAAAAAAAGAGCACACACCGATGGAACATCAACTTCCTGCCACCTAAGAGAAATTTCACAGGCATCTTAAAAACTGCTCTCTTATGTGATTTTCTATAATGAATTAATTGTACAAGAATATATTAATGTAGTTCAAACTATATATATATATATATATATATATATATATATAAATAAATCATAACTCTTAATAAAATCTCACCATTTAAAGAAGTGGTCAGTCAACAAAACAAATCTCTTCCAATAGACACCGGTGTAGATTAGAAAGTCTTAGATGAAGATAAATATAAAGATTGGAGTAATTCCAGTGAATCTGTCTCCATTAGTCATGGAAAAAAAAAAACAAACCCAGCTACCAGCTACAATAAAAATACCTCCTTATCAAATGTATGCAATTTTTTAAGAAATCACCACTATATTTCTCCCTAAATAACTGGAGAAAATGCTTCTACAATAGATAAAATCATAATCTAACGGCACAGGGCAATGCAGCAACAAGCACTTAACATTTAAACTAGAGCTTTATTTGGTTCCACATCATTTGTGTAGGGAAAAAAGTGACAGTTTGAACATAGATGTTTACTGATAAATAAAACCTGAAAGCCCTTTAAAGTTTCACCGGAAGCATCGAATCGGAAGCCAACTTCAGTCCAGTCATCTGAGCCAATAGCAAACAGTGTCTGTTTTGACTAATAACACTAAATAACGTATAAATGCCTATAGAAGACCGTTTCCTATGCTGAACTCAACCCAGTATTGTGATACAGAAACATTTTCCGGATTAAATAGTTGAACTCTGCTGCTGATCCATATAACACCGTCAGCAGCGCAGCGCTAAATACAAAATGGCTCATCGACCAGCAGCAGTTAGCTCACTTGTTAGCCACGCAGGAGGACACATCCATGCGTGTCGATCCACACTACCGAGTTATGGAGCCTTAAATACAGGAAAATGATTAGAAGAGTGAAATATTCAGCATAAACAGGCAATCTGCTGCGTTTAAAGCCATGTTGGTCAGCCTCTGTAAAGTTATCGACTGTTTGATTTGCACACATTGCAGATGTCCCATAGTAATACACTTAAATAAAACTAGTGTTTGTGTTATGGAAGGTTTAAGTGGCCCAGGCCAGAAGAGATGCTGCAGTAAAGGGAGGTTCTGGTGGAACATGTGGCTGCTGAGTGGCGCCTGCTCCTTTGTTTAAGGATCCATCCGGGTCACAGAGCAGTCAGCGCCTCACACACAGCTGCTCCACTAACAGCAGGGCTGATCACACTCAGAAAAGTTAAAAAGAAACTCTCCTTAAGGTCATTTTAATTACTTACATTCGTATATATATATATATACATATATATATATATATATTAATGAAATCTACAAAAATCTCTCAAAACAGCGCATATTATCACAGGATCCTACTAGTTACTCATCTAAACAGACGCAGACTCGACTATTTAATAAAATCATTTTATTTTTATAACCCTCTCACCAAAAAGAGGACTATTTTTAACCGGTATTCACTATGAACAACCTGTTGCTGCCATGTTGTTTGTAGATCACATTTACCTTTCTCTGCCGCATAATCCTTACGAGCCATGTCTGTAGAGTTGAGCGTCAAAGAAAGCGAGTCTTGAAAAACTTTCAGCTGCAGCCGAAGCAAAGCGTTTTCTGAACGGTTTTTGACTACTTTTTTAAAAGCGAAGCGGTGGATTCATTCACATGCAGCCAGCACTTCTCCTGGTCGCGCTGCAAGAACTGGCGCCACTCTGACAACCTCAGCGACCAATCGCGTTGCGTCTTTCGGCGGAGGGGGGCGGGCTGTGAGAGTGGCGCGAAAGTTGGAGGAGGTAGGATGTCACGTGACCACAGGAACAGGCGCGAAATGTGATAATAGGATTTTATACGCCGCTACATGCTTCCAATGGGAGAAAACTGAGGAAGTTTATTGTTGAAAACTTGGTTTTGCTTTGGCAAACCTAAGTTTAAGAGATCAAAACTATATATATATAGATATATATCTATATCTATATATATATATATATATATATATATCTATATATATAAATATATATAGATATATATATATAATCATTTTCCAATATAGTAAAACAATAAACTTTTTTTCCAATACATTTCATTTACACTTCAAATACA